TCATAAATCATCAACAATAAACCAATAGTAAACTATTATACAACTCAATATAAACCAAATTGAAAACTTCATAAAATCATCAATAAACCAATAATAAACCATTATACAACTTAATATCATAAGTTTATCTTTAGTTTATCTTAAGTTTATTATCTTTTTTTTTTTACTATATATTCAGTTTATCTTTAGTTTATCTTAAGTTTATTATCTATTTTCTTTTTACTATATCTTAAGTTTACCTTTAGTTTATCTTAAGTTAATTATCTATTTTTTTAACTACATCATCAAAAACAAATTGAGAGACAAATCATATGAAAAATAAGATTTAATATAAACTATAAAAAACAAAAAATAAAAAATCAAACATCAGTAAACATCTTCAAATACAAATATATTACATACCAATATACAAAGTTACAAACCCCATAATCACTGCCTAAAAGCATAGCCGCCCCCTGTAGACTGAAACTCGAACACGTACCTCCTGACCCAAAATCCCTACTCATGCTAACGAACTCAATCACGACTTCCTTCATAGTTGGACTATCAATTGACGAACACGCTAAACACTTCTTGACAAGTTTTCCAATTAGCATCAGCACCTCAACCTCACCACACCCTCCAAACGACTATCCAAGATCCTAACCAAGTCGTTCCCTCTAATCGGCTCCACAAAATACAGGACCACTCCAAAACGGTAGACATCACTCTGTTTTTTTCTGTACCTAAGGACTCATACATCCCACGGAGCCGAGTGTACACCAAGTCACCCATGGGATACAAGTCATTGTATTGTGCCCAACTCCATATTATTGCATCGTTTGAATATCCACAAACTAGCCACGACAGGAATTATAAAGCCTGGATGGAAATTGAATTGAATTTTCAAACATCTTATTTTCTCCCGAGTTTAGTTCAAGTTTATATAGAACTTATCAAGATAATAATGGCAAATTTGATAACAATATTCTTTTCTTTTACCATATTCCATGCTTATCCCATGAATTAACAACACATAAACTTATCTCATGCTTCATATTTTAGTTAAAAATTATTTAACTAAAATCAACTCAAGGTAAAAATCAAATTAATCTTAACAATCTACTTTCAAATAGCTTTTTTAATAATTATTCAAGAGTGATCCAACGAAGGCTCTGCTGAAATTTTTGCAGTTAAACTATGAAATCTGAAAAAAAAAGTATAACAAAAAAAAGAGTTTGTGATGGATCCAACTATTAAATCAAGAAATTGTCTTAAAGTGCCCCTAAAATTTCATTTTCAATTTTTCAGATCTTACCAGCAACTCATAAATTTAAGATTGAAATCTTATCAACAAAAAAAAAAGAACTTAAAATCTTCTAAACCTTAAATCAATAACCTGCACCTCGAGGCGGCGGACGGTGCAAGAGACGAGAGGAGGGAGCCGGAGATGGAGAGGATCTCGAAGAGCGGGTGACGTTGGTGGTGATTCCGATGGCGCCGAGATGCAGACCCTCCACTGGCATCGGGAACCACCGCACGATCAGCAAAGGCGTTGGGTGAAGGAGAAGGATGCCCATCACCGGTCCAGCCCATGGGCAGCAGAGGAGCGGAGCAAGCGACGACCGACAGGCGAAGAGGAAGAGGCGCGCCGAATACTAAGACAAGTTGCTTTGAAGGGGGAGAATTATTTAAAGTTGAAAAGTGGATCTGTTTGGTGTTCTTTAGCCTTTGGAAAAATCATTCAAGTGGAAATAAAATCTTAAGGTTGATATTAAAAGACTTATCTCGTATTTAGGGAGAAAAACTTATGAAGGATCGTCCACCAGGTAATTATTTCAAGTTTTTACATACCCTTAGACCAATGTCAACTAAATTGAAATTAGCCCAGACATTTATATGTGTAAGCCCATTAGGAGCCCATCACTACAGTCTACGATCATAGTGCAAGACGGAGGAAAAATCATATTTGATAGTTTTATATCATTTAGGTATTGAAAAAAAAAAAATTAGACCCCGATTTAATAGTTTATCTATATTTTAGGTCTTGTATTGAAAACTCTTTATATAAATCATTAAATTGTAGTGCACATAGTAAAATTTATAAACAAATATATATTAAGAGAAAAAAGTGCTCACCTAAGCTAAAATCGAATATTACTTAATTCATTTCGTGATACGGATTCGGTGTTTCGTATTTGTAAAATGCAATAACATTGAAATGAGATTAGTAATTTGTATTAAAAAAATTATGTAAATATATTCTATTCAAAATTACCAAACATTGGATTCATTAGTAATAAATTACAAACTTCATTCAATATATAAAATTTATAAATTAGTTTATATAATATTTAAAAATATATTAAATCAAATGTAACATATTTATGTTTTACACCTAATATTAATTCTTTAATTGAATCAAATACGAATTATAAATTAAATGTTATAATGTATAGCTAAAAGCTAAAATCTCTTATATCTAAAAGCTAAAATATCTCACTAACAATTGTAACATATTTCATAAACAATATAATTTTATTTTTGCCAAAAAAAAAAAAAAAA